TTTTATATGTCATCTTTTTTTTTTTCACCTTTGTTGAATTGATAAAAATTTTGAAGGGTTATAAGTTTGCGGGGCATACAATCACAATAAAACTTGTGTTAATTTATGGTAATTTTAAGAAAGCACATTGGGATATCTAAAACAAGTTTTGTTTGAATCACTCAATGGTCAATACTATGTGTAAGATCAAATATTTTATCATACAACTATAGTATCCATGACTTTCTATTTCATGTCTAGAGAAGCAAATAACACAATATATTACATATCTCAATAGATATATTATGGTGACTAGTGGCAGACGGCCACATCATAGTGAGTGGTTCATTTGGAAAAAATTATAAGGCATGTAAATCTTGTAACTTTGCATTTTTTATTTTTAATATTTTGTATCCTTAGACTAAATAAAAAAATATTTGAGCTCAAAAACTTATTAAATGTATAATATTTTGATGATCAAGGTATATAAGATATATAAAAGACCATATCACTTGTTCAATATAATTTTCCAAAGAAAAAATGAAGATCAATCTATTTATGATATTACAATTTTAGTCATACTGTAATAATTATTTTTAGTTATTAAATTATTAATTTTTAAATTAAATTATGTTGCATCCCTTAAATTAAGGTCCTCTTAGCTTTGCTTTTAGTGACTATAATTATATGCAAGGCTGTGGCTTATATTAGGCTAATAAGGCGGCCGCCTTATGCCTCAAAAAAAGTCTACTTATATCTCATATAATTAATTATTGTTTTTCTCATTAAGCATTAATATTAATTATATATCTTATATAATTAGTCATTTTTTATTGATTATAAAATATTTTAGACCATACCAATAATGGTTGCTACTATTGAAAGAAGTTTTTCTAAATTAAAATTACTTAAATCTTATTTAAGATCAACTATGTTACAAAATAGATTAAATAAATTAGCCATATTATTATCTATTGAAAATGAAATGTTAGAATTACTTGATTATAAAAAAATTTAATATTTGATTTTGCAATTCAAAAGGCTAGAAAAGTGATATGAAGATATATAAATAATACTCATTTGGTCCTATTTATAGGGTAGATAGAGAATGTTTGTTTTGGTCCTTTTTATAAGACATCTCAATTATTATTATATTCATCTTTACAATTTTGCCACTATTAAATGTAGGAAAGTTTATTAAATGCTAGAACATTTTATTTTAAAGTATGTATATTTAATAGGGATAAAATTTGAAACTTGTCAAATTTTTAGACAGAGTTAATGAGGTTTAAGATTTTTTTTTTTTAGTTCTTATGAAAATATTAGAAGTGACTTATAAATAGGATTAGAGAGAATAATATACTAAGCTTTTAAGATAATTTTGTCTTAAGTCCCAAAATCTCTTCACACGGTCCTGATCATTGCTAACCCTCCTTCTAAAGGGCATCAACCTTGTGCTCATTCAGATATGTAAGGAGAGCCATGTTCCCAATTACATCTTTCTATTGTAGGGATTAATCGCATAGCCTTGCTATTAAAAGAAAAAATAAAAACAAACCATGTCATTCTCAGAAACAATATAATCATCCATCCTAGATTGCTCTACTAAGATATGACAGGCGTAAACCTCATGCATCAATCACTCCGATTCTGTTTATAATTGCTCTAACATATGACAAGCATAAAGTTTTATGATAATAATTTTTTATTCTATTTATACACCATATCATTAAAACTTTTATTATTAATTTTTTCTTATACTCTCATTAAATGTTGGCAAAAAAGAAAGTTATTAATATATATATATATATATATATTTAATACTGATTAAGTTGAAAACTTCATAAATTTTTCAAGGGATTAAATGATTTTTGAGGTTTTTTTATTCTAATAAAATATATTAGAAGTAAATTATAATTATGATTGGATAAATCATATTTCTTATTGAGTCCAAATCTTAATTAGTAATATATTCATATATATATATATATATATAATATAAAATATATGATAAATTATATTATTCGCAATGGATGAATCAAGAATTTTTAAATTTTTTTTAAATTTTACATAGAATCATATTAGTTAGTGAGAGAAACTTTTGTATTTGTATAATTTTATCAAATTTTCATGTGACACAATTTTGTCAAATTTTCATTATGGGATGGAGTGATGGACTTTGGAATTATATTTTGTTTAAATTATTCTAAGGCTTGATCATACTCCCTTCATTTAAAAATATAAAATATTTTTAATTAAATCTCACCTCTCAATAAAAGTAATTGCTTACTTTCAAATTAACTATATCTTATCATATTTATCCTTATTAAACATCATGTAATAAATATAAAATTATTTATTGATAGAGGTACTCTTTTAACCGAAGTAATAATTCCACCTCAAAAGATTAAAAATATTTTATATTTTTTAATATTTAATTTTTTAAAAAATATCTTATATTTTTTTAAAAAAAGTATATAATATCAACATTTGGCCTTATCTACATTTCTAAATGTTTTGGCACAAACCCACAGAGTGAGAGTGCATGTGCGTGTGTTATTTTATTTATTTATTTTCTTAGTAAAATATTATTTATTTATTTTAAAAGCCAAACAGGCTTAAGTTAAGTGTTTTAGAAGAAAGGCGGCCAAAACAAAAAGAAGACCATATAGCAATAATTAAATAAATAAAAATAAAAGAAGACGCATCCTCGTCAACAAGAGGCCGTCGTCAGATCAGCCTACCTACTTACTCTTTTTTAAAGTTTCCCATTGATTTCAAATTAAAAAATAATAATTTTGCAAAGTCTTGAAATAGTTTTATTTAATTTAAAAAACACAATTACTAGTGTTTTTAATTTCATTGAGTTTTGTTTTTAATTTTTATAGTTTTTTAAGAGATTAAATCCCTATAATTTTACAAAAATTGGTGATGTTTGTCACTTAAATCCCTATAGTTTTCAATCCCTATAAAAAATAAAATTATTAAAAATTATAAAAACTAAAAATAAAATTTGATAACACTATAGAGATGATTGTATTTTCCCTTAATTTTAGATCAGCTTCTTCTAATTTATTTTATTTTATTTTAGTCAAATTCTTATAGTTTGATTCATTAAATACTTTAATTTCTAGCAACTGAGGTCGTGTATGATGGAAAGGGCTAGTTCCTCATAATATAATAAATTAAGGTTAGAATCTTCACTGAGATAGATATTTACATTTAGTATCTGATCATATCGTGAATAAAATTATCTCCAATAGGAGAATACCTTTGAGCAATAAAAAAAATTTTAATTTTTAGAAATTAAAATTATTAATAAATGATTAGTTTTCTCAAAAAAAATATTTTTTAAATTTATTGAAAATTGATTTACTATTTTTGGACAAAACTCAAAAAATAAAGAAAATTTAATTTAATAAAATATTTACATTTTTGTTAAATGTTTTATAAAGATTCTATATATATATATATATATATATAAATTGTTTAGAAAACATAACCTAATTATATAGATTGAGTTCTTAATTTCATTTTTTAAAAGAATAATTCAAGGATTTTAATTATCAGATATTAATAAAATTAAGGAATCAAATTATAAGAGCTCAGTAAAAGAAAATAAACAACAAGAAACCTAATTTAAAATTGAGAGAAATTATAAAAACTTGTAAATTAATTTTTTCTAAATTAAAATTAAATCAAATTAAGTCTATTAATATACAAAATTTATAGAAGGCATTATTCATGAGGTATTAACAATGTTGTTTATCTTATAGTTGTAAATATATGGCTTATTTAATTTTAAATAATGATCAATTTGATACAATAATAATAATTAAGAGCCACACTAATTATATAACATATCATATTCTCGTTCATTTTGATTTGATATTAAAAAACTTGATAATTTTTCAAAAATTTTAATTACTTTATACTTCTTCCGTTCAAAAATATAAGGCATTTTTTAATAAGTTGAATGCTAAAAAATATAAGGTATTTTTAGTCTTTTGAAGTGTAATCATTATCTTTTTTGCAAAAGTGCCCCTATTAATAGTAACTTTATATTTAGTATAGGATATTTAATAGAGATAAATATGAAAAGATAAGGTTTATTTGAAAGTAGATAACTATTTTATTAGGAATGAGATTTAGTTAAAAATATTTTACATTTTTTAATGGATAGAGTGTGTGAAAAGATACTTTTTGTCGAAATAAAAAATAAAAAATATCTAATTATAGCCTTACTATTATTATTTTTTATTACACAGATGTCTTGTTATTAAAGGTATATTTTCCTTGAAGATAGAATCACTAACTAGATATGAGCATCTTTCTCCATAAGATATGAAATTCAACATTTATTCATCATATTGGGATAGACTAGATCTTTTTCAATATTTAATTTAAGAAGAATCACATTCAAGCACCACTTAAGAAAGTCATTTTTTTTTAAAGTTCATATTTCTATTTTAATAATAATGTATTTTTTATTGATCTTTATCTGTAAACAAATTTTTTGAGTAGTCTTAAATACAATTCTCCCTTTAATCTATTAAGTAATATGGGAAAATTACATCTAAATTTCACAGAAGATAATTTATTATTAAAAAGTTCTATGAAATTCATAAAATGCTTTCAAATTTCAAATATTGTGTATTTAAAATTTATCTAAGGGCATTTATAGTTAGACAACGAATATTTATAACTTATTATTATAAGTTATCATTTTTTTTTACAAATTGTAAATACTTATTGCTCAATTTTAAATATCCTTAGTTAAATTATTAATGTACAAAATTTGATATTTAAGAGTATTTTGTAAATTTTATAAAACTTATTTGTAATAATTTTTTTATGGAACTTATGTATAATTTTCTCAAATAATTTTGTTTTTTTTTTAAAAAAGGAATGGTCCATTCAACCCCGAAATTCAAATCATTCTCCGCCGTGAAGAAACGGCGTCTAACCGACGAGGCACAGCATATATATAAAAGAAGCCAACAGAAAAATCAAACGCTTGACACGCATCACACTTCTTCACATCAAATACGTTGCACAGAGAGCTCCATTGGCCACACACAACAACACAATCGCATTTCTTCCCAGATCGGACCGACAAGGTGAAACTCTCTTCTCTATCCCTCTAATTCTTTTTCATTCATGCATGGAATGCAGATTACTGAATCGGATTCGCATTTCGCTTTTCGATCTCGTCGCTGTCTCGTTTTTCTGTGGATTTTGTGTTTCGTTGTTTGACCTTTTGGCGTTATTACTTTTGAAATGAAGCTTGTATTTGATTGATTGGCAAAATGCAAGTGAAAGAAGATTCTGGAGATTATGCATTGGTTTTTTGAAACAGATAAAGTTCAGAGTTCCGTTTTTAGCTCTTGCAAAGCGTTTTTTTTTTCCGCCTAACTTTGGACGGTCGGGTGCAGTTTCGGGAGTAATATGTTCGATTAGATTTTCTCTCTGCAATGTGTTTGTCTTCATTTATTGTATCTCAAGTCAGAATCGTTTTTTGGATGTGTGATTCATATGTTACTGAATTTAAGGGTGAAATGCCCAAATATGAGCGATTTTCAACAGTGAATTCTGTGCTTGAGAAAGTTCCGTTTTAATTATGATTAATTTATTTATATTTTATCTTTTTCTGCTGCAGTTTTTTGTCTTTTTCAGATTGTATGCCTCGGTATGATTTCTTGCATCTGGGAATTTTGCTTGCTATATAAGACTCGTCTTTCTTTTTCCCCGACTTCTTGATTCTTTTTGGGATATATTTGAGTTGTATTGGAATTAAAGATCTTAAGCCTCGGTTGTAATTGCATGTCTTTTAATTATTCCAGTGCTTTCTATTTCTGATTTTGGCCAGTCTTTGAGTGCCTTGCGGCTTTTCCACTCTGGCGCTTGGAGTACCGTATTATTGTGTTCTAAAATTTATGTTGAACAATATACGTTACGCTTGATAATGCGCTCCAAGTTAGCAAGTGCTTTATTAGTTTTTCGTATAATATTTTCTCTCTCTCTTCTACTTTTAGTGAGACACGATTAAAGGGATTGTTCATGTCAACATGTTCAGTTTATAAAAATAATAAATCCGTTTTGGCATACTTTGAAACCAGTTTCAAGACTTATTTTATACGCAAGTCGGAATTCAGTATTTTATTGAATTAAGGAAAAGCGATAGCAGGATTCTTGATACTGGTGAAAGTTAATTAAAGGTGGGCGCCAAGTCATTTTAGATAGTACATTTATGGCCACATTTTGAAATTTCAATGGAAGAGAAAAAACCGGACATAACAAGCTTTCTTGGGTCCCTTGTTATTATGCTTCTCTTTAAAGATATAGAATCGTAAATAACAGAAAAATATCGAGATTATACTACTTTTTTCTGGGTTTATCAGATGTACTGCTACGTTAACTTTGGAGCTATGACTCAATTTTTTATTTGCTACAAAAATATTTATTACACTTTTTTTATCCTTTGGTCAGTCCTTGATGACTGCTGTTTATTTTTTATGCTGAATTTTCTCTGTTTTTTGTTACCATCAAATAAATGCTTTTTACTTTCAGTTCTAATGGCTTGGTCCTTCCTTGCTAGATATATTTATGCATTTGTGGATATCAAAGATTTTACTACATTTAATATGTTGACAAGACAAATCAGGGAATGATTTAAACTACTCCATTTTGTTCTTCTATTCTCTTGTTTTTAGTTTTATTCACGTGTATATTCATATTTCAAGAGAGTGTTAGGTTGTGTCTTTTTTTTCTTTTTCATTTCCATTATTTTTTCATAGTTCAACATAAAAGTTATATTGAGTCCGCATTTGAATGCTGTGTGATTTGTTCTCTCTAGCAGTGGCATGATTTTTATACTAAATTTAACCATGATTCCTTAATATATTGATGTAGTCATCTTGCATATATTGTGTTCATACAATCAAACATGCATAGGTTACATGAAACCAATTCAATTCAATCCTGACATCTCTCTATTATAGTGCAATGGATATAGAAGATACGGATGTTTGTATCATCAAGGAGCCAGATCGTGTGATAGTCTACTCAAATGAAACTTCACATGAATCAGGTCATGAAAATGGTGCTAATCAACACAATATTACTGAGTCTTATGAGCCAATAGTTGAGAGTGCTGAACATCATAGTTCGGAGGAGAGCACCAAGGAATATGAGGTGAAGGAATGTACAACAGAAAATTCTGTTAAGAAATCTGATCAGTCGAACATAAACAGTGAGAAGCAGAGTTTTGTGGGTTCTCCATGCGAGAAGAGCTCAAAATCCCACAGAACCAAGGCTGTGAAGCAGAGATCAAGACCTCCCATTGGAAATCCTCACGGTAGAAGTACAGGAAATGTCCAAAAGAAGCACACAGTTCCACAACCATTTGCTCTAGCAACTGAGAAACGTGCCTCTGGCATAATGCGCCCTCTTGCTGAAGATAAGCAGGGCACTCATGATAGAAAATTGATAAATAAAAAAAATGTCCTCACTCCAAATAATTTACAACAGAATAAGGTAAATGTTGATGATGAGGTTACTAGTTCCTTGAACCATTTTGATATCTCTACGTACATGGAAGTACGATAGAAACAGATCCATTCTCTTAGTCCTCCTATTATATATGATCAAGTAAGCAAATCCTGAAATGGTAGGCATGACTTCTTCCATTGGCATCCAGTCATATCAGCATGAACTTATAGTCACTTTATTATACCTATGGTTCTGATGCCTATCTCTATAAAATTTTTGAAAGCTTTGTCTAAAAGACCGTCATTGAAACAACAATCTATGAAGACTGCTTCATGATTGTAAACTTGTAAAAGTAATTTATGCATCACTTTATTTTTCTAATCCAATGCATTTATCTACAGTGGATCTTATTTACTCACTAAATTTAGTTATGCTTAGTGTTAAATGTTTATCTGTCTTGCTACTTGCAGTTGGAATCACCTCCAGCGTTAAGAAAGCCATTGCAACCTAATAACAAGAAGCATCCTGATGAAGATGATTCTTGTTCTGTTGTTTCTCTGTATCCTATTAAACCTCTTAGTTAGATTGACAGAATCAATCTCATTTGCGTTTTCTTATTCTAGTACTGGTTCTTCTACTTTCTCATGGAATTTGTAATTGATAATTTGTTATTAATCCTTGACTACATATAGAACTGCAGCTTCTGTGCGATCATTCAAGTCTAGGGCAACTGTTGCTTCAGCTCCTGTGTTTCAGTGCACTGAGCGTGCACAAAAACGAAAGGAGGTAGCATCTTTATTCAAGTTTAATTTGTTTGGATTTAATTTTCTAACCGAAATTGACTGGTGCCTGCTCATCCTATTTTGAATGTAGTTTTATTCAAAATTAGAGGCAAAGCATCAAGCACTGGAAGCTGAGAAGAATCAAAGTGAAGCAAGGAACAAGGTGCATCATTTTCTCAAACATCTACGGAACCAAGATATATAGCTGTCTCTTATTTTCCCCTGCTTAGATGTTTGTTTTCCATTTTAATTTTAAATTCTTTTCCCCTAGTAGGCTTATCGTTGCATTTTCTCACTCTATCTCCTTCATCAATTTAAAAACATTCAAGGAAGAGAGGGAGGCAGACATCAAGCAGCTGAGGAAAAGTTTAATGTTTAAAGCAAATCCGATGCCAAGCTTTTACCATGAGGGGCCTCCACCAAAGGTTGAATTGAAAAAGGTATGAGACATAATCTTATGATGTTATATGCATGAGATTCTGATATAATAACCTCTCAAGCAACTATAAACTAGATTAGCACAAAATAATAGTAAAAGATTGATCTACGATCTCCAAGGTTTGGTTGTTGATAGAGTACAGTAGCATAATACAATCCATATAGCTGACCTCACTTGGTGAGATAAGAGTTCTTGTTGCATTGATTTGCAATCCATCTAGATGTATTTTTTGACTTGTGTTCATGGCAATTTAAGTAATCTAAACTTTTCTGGACCAGCCACCACCTACTCGTGCAAAATCTCCAAAGCTAGGCCGCCTGAAGAACTGTAGTGGCTCCACTGTCAGTTCCTCTCATGGGGACAAGGTCAAGGGCAATGTTGTCCGGGAAAGTCATCACTCTAACAAAGAAGATGCCTGTGCTAACATAGATTATGGGATTGACTTAAATAATGGCAGTAATAGTTATGAACTCAATAACAAGATCAAGGACATAGAAGAAATGAATGGGATCAAAGGAAATGGGCAAGTGGCTCTGATCATCTGAAGATCAGCCATCAGTCATAATGCTTTCAGTGAGATTTGCTTTTCACTTCTTCTAATTTATGAAGAGTTGAGTCTTTAACACTTGTCTCTATTCTGAAGCATGTTCTTGTTATTTTCTTTAATTTATAATCTCTTGCTATGTGCTTTTGTCTAATTTAAGTGGTGAAAATGTCCATATGTAATTTATTTCAGCTTGTAAGAATGAAACTTATTTATCACAAGAGCTTATTTAAGCGTCTGTTTGGCTCCCCCAGAACAAGGTCAGACTGTATTTTGAGGTTCTTGTTAAAAAAATAAAATTCTGTGAAAAGGGTCATGGTCTATCTCTCTCTCTCTCTCTCTCTCTCTCTCTCTCTCTCTCTCTCTCTCCCCTGTTTTTTCAGTTGTCTTTTATCTTTTTTCAATATTGTTTCTCTCATTCCTCAACTATTAGAGCTGGGGTGGTTTCAATGAGAAGTGAATGCTAGAAAAAGTTTTTTTTGGAGAATATCAATGAAGGATCCTTGAAAGAATTTAATATATTGACAAGACTTGTATATATCAGATTCTTGTTAAAATTTAAACTTCACTTGTTAATTGTTAATGTTTATTTGTTAGAAGTTCTTGTGAGATATTAATTTTTTTTCACAGGTCCTTCAATAATATTCTCCCAAGTTTTTTTTGGGGGAGGTGTTATTATAATTAGGTTTGTTGTTTATATTGTACTTTAGGTATGTGCTTGAAGGAAATGATCCAATTTGTTTAAATGAGGCTTTTTGTCTTTTTATTTTCAGATGTTTTATAATCTTTTCATGTATGCTATCGATCTTGTAGTTAAGAGATTTTTTTTTTTTTTTTTGGGTTATCGTGTGCATGTGTACTCTTATTAGAGGTGCGCATGCATCTTGTAAGAGAATATATTTTGATAAAAAAAAATGACAGTTAAGTTCTAAAAAATTGAATTAATGAATAGTTAGATTTTCAACAAAATTTTTTCAAAAACAAGTTGTAATTATCAATTTAAACATTTATAAATAAAAATACATGATATAATCTAAGAGTTATATTCAATATTTAAATATTTATTTTCAATTAAAATTTTTGAATTTGCAATCATTTAGATTAATATTTCTAACTCATTTTTTAAAAAAAATTAAAGGTTTAACTATCATTAATTTAATATTTTAAAATTTAATTGTCATTCATTCAAAAGAAAAGGCAAGGGAGAATAAATGTCAATTGTTGGCATGCAATGAGAATTACCTAAAATACCCTCGGTCAATCTTGATGACCCCACAATACAACCAGATCAACAAACACTTTAGAATTCAACAAAACTAATAGAGAATCAAGTTGTAGGAATCAATGAAATTGGTAAAAAAAAAAATACAGAGAGCACAGGAAAAATTTAAGAAAATATCCTTCTACTAGTTTCCACAATGAAAATAAAATTAACAATCACAGCTATTGATGTAAAACAAGAAAGAGAAAAGGAAAAGAGAGAGAAGGGAGGAGGGAGGAGGAAGAGAAAACTATATAACTTTTATTTAAATATTAAAAACTAAATACAATTGAAAAACCCTAAAACTATTTATAGATATCTAGAAATAATAAAATAATAAAAAATATGAATCTGAATCAAATTATAATTTAAAAGATGATGATAAGGTATCTAGCTAATCTAGATATCTTATTTTATTTGAGATAATACTTAAAGATAAAATAAATCTAAGATACTAAATAAATAATAATGATCTCTAGATACTAAATCAAATATTAATAAATCCTAAAGAATCTAATGGATATTCAATATCCTTATTCAAAGGATACTAATAAAATAATTTTAAATAAAAGTAATCAAATCTTATCTATATTCCATCATTTCTTCTCTACTTAAAGAACTCTCTTTCGAAGAGTTATATTGAAGGAACAATTTTAGGATGGGATGAAATTTCAACATAAATAGTGTATTAATCCAAAGCTTACGTAAGAGTGAGTTAGGTGGTAGTTGATGATGAAATTTGATGGTTTAGGCAAATTTGGGAGCTAAAGGTAATGGTGGTGGTGTAGCGTCTAATATTTGGATGGCTGTGCATAAATTATGGTGATGATATTAATTTTTGAAGTTTAATGAATCTCAAATAAGTTGAGCACAAAAAAATGAAATTGAGCTTTGGTATCAAATTGATGAGCTCTAAGACTATTTATAGATATCTAAAAATAATAAAATAATTCTAAATAAAAGTAATCAAATCTCATCCATATTCTATCAGCTATTCAATCTCATGGGCAATTACAACTACAAAAAAATCAACATGCATAAAAGGGAAATAGCAGGAAGAAGATGAAGAAGTAATGTCAAGAAGAGAAGATTCAAGGGGGCAGTTTTACAAAATTCCATGCCCTATGTGATTTCCACCCATGCAAGGTTTTGGGCCCATTTTTTTTTTCAATAAGCCCATTCGTGACACAAACTCGACAAGGTGAGCAAGGTGAAGAGAACAAAAGCTCTAAACCAAAGGAGAGAACAAGCATATAGCGAAACTCAACGTTGGACCAAAAACCCGGAGTTAGTGGGGAGAATTTTTTCAATTAAAAAAGTAATTTTAAATAATACTCTCTCTGTTTAAAAATATAAAATATTTTTAATTGAATCTCACTCCAATAAAGTAATTACCTACTTTTAACTACCCCTATCTTTTCATATTTACCTCTATTAAACACCTTACAATAAATATAAATCATTATCAATAGAGGTATTTTTAAAAAAAATATAATGATTACACCTCAAAAGACTAAAAATGTCTTACATTTTTTAATATTTAATTCTTCAAAAAATGCCTTATATTTTTAAACGGGGTGAGTAAATATCATCATCATAGACATGTGCAGTTATTGAGGGTAATGTAATTAATTTAAAAAATCAATATATTATCAAAATTCTATATGAATATTAAGATCATGTAAAAATGTAATCCACACATAATTGAATTATACACTTTAAAATTTTAAATATAATAGCAAGTTTTTAAAATTAATCTTGATTCATTTTTGTTCAAAACTGAATTCATAAATTTAGTTGAACATTGCCACTCCTTTAATGATTTTTTTAAAAAAATAGTATTCTATTCAAAATTTTAAAACTTTACAGTCAAATCCATTATAAATCATGTCTTAGTATATTTAATTAATTAAAAAATTTAAAATTTAAAATCATAATTTAATCAAATGCATGTAAAAATTATTTGGTTAAAAATATAAAAACTAAATGTTTCATTCAAAAATAAACATTACAAAAATATTTACAATATACTTCAAACATTTCTTCAACAATAAGGCAATTTCCCTGAAATAAATATATATATATATATATATATATATCCCAATGTGGAGATGAGTTGGGATGGATATTCTACACTCCCCTCATTTGTTCTCTTCTTCTTTTTTTGGCTTGACCTCATTTGTTCTCTTCCAATTTAGCCTCTTTCTACAATTTAATGTTGGTATTTTCTCACCTTTCCCTCACTCCTCTTGGTATCTCTCCCCTCATTTGCTTCTTTTAACTATTCTCTCAACTTGTTTAGGAAATGGGTGTAGAATCAAGAAATAAGTGGAGGCATATTTCAACCAGACTAACCAGGTACATGTAGTTTTAAAAACTTCAGAGGAGGCAATTGACCACCTTGAGACTAACATGGGTCCACCCTGACTACTTAAATACAATGTTTTAGGTTACAATCTATGTGAACATAAAAAATGTCTTTGGAAAGCTATTTTTAATTGGATCCAACAAAGTTCAAATTTAATCCAATAGTATTGGTTATTTAATAATTACACACACATATGTAAAAAGAAAAGAGGTGAAAAACAAAAACAAAAAGCACATTTAATTATTTGCTACTCCTCTAATCTTATTTATATATTACTTTCAATATATTTCATCAGTATCAAGAAAAATTTTAAAATTTATTAACTCTGTTTTAAAATTTAATAAGTTTTCAACTTTATCCTCATGAAATATACATATTTAATAACATTTTTTCTCTCCAACATTTAATGGAGGGTAAAATAGAAAATTTATGATAAAATTTAATGACGTGACTTATAAATGGAACAAAAAAAATTATTCTCTCTCTATCCTATAAATAGGACCAGAGGGAGTATGTTGTGGGAGGAGGTTGGTAAATGATAAAATGAATTCTTTAATAATTAATACCTGTGATGTAATCTCTTTCTTTTTTAAGATAATAGATGTAATCTTTTGCTTGATTAAAGCAATGTATTCTTATTGTTTTTATTTAAAAAATGAAAAAAAAAAAGGAACCCATGGTCACTGGTGGTGAAGCCTAGCATAGTGGGACAATTTGGACATTGTTCAAGTAAAGGAGAGAGGGTTCCCCTTAAACAAGGAAAGACTCCTTTTATGGCAAGCAAGATGGAAGAATCTATCAAACAGGCATACCAAAGTAAAGGAAGTTTGATTCCCTTGTCTTGAGTAAGATTCTCAAGGTACCAAACAAGATGTGCTTAACGCAAATAGCCTATAAATATATTTGTTATTTTTCAATGCATATAACAAAGGAATATTTATAATTGTGAAAATTAAAGAGGATTAAACTTATGAATCATATAATGAAATTGTGAAAAAGAGTGATTAAACATAAATTAAGGTTGGAAACTAGTATTTTTGATAATCAATTTGATTTTATGCCAGAAAAGGTGACTATAAAAGCAATTTATTTACTAAGAGAATTAATAAAAAAGTATCAAAACAAAGGTACAAATGACTTTTATTGACTTAGTAAAAAAAATTATGATCGTGCACTAATAGAAGTACTTGGGAAACTCTTAAAAAAGAAAGAAGTTTGGATTACTTGCGTTAGAACTATAAAAGATATATATGAGGGGGTAACAACTAATATTAAGAATATTTGGTGATGAGACAGACTTTTCCTATAACAATTGGATTATATTAGAGATAATCTTTAAGCCTTTATTTATTTGATCTCATTTTAGACATTTCGACTAAGTGTATTCAATAGAAAATCTCAATTACATGCTTTTTACGAATGATATATTTTTTATTAAAAAGTTAAGAGAATAAATTAACTACAAACATGGGTTATAGAGGAGGACCTTGAAATTGAAGGCTTTATTCCTAAATATAAGTAAGATAGAATATTTGCCTTGTAATTTTGATAAGAGATTAATCATTATTAATTTGGAGTGAGATTAAGAGATTAGGTCATACCACAGGTGAAAAAAGTGTAGATATTTGAAAGCAATTATTCAACATGATGAAAAAATTGATAGAAATGTTGCACATAAAATACATGTTGGGTAGTGTAATTTAAGAGGTTAAAGGGATTATCTATGATAGAAAGATACCTAATAAACTTAAAAAAAGTTTTATTAAACTACCATAAGAATGATCATATTATATGGTAGTGAATGTTAGACTTTAAAGGGATAATGAGAGCATAAAGTTAAAGTAGAAAATATGAGAATGTTGAGATTGATGTGTGGGCATACATCAAAAGATAAAATATGAAATGAACATATATAAGAAAAAAATGGGCATGGCATATATTGTAGGAAAATGATAAAATATCATTTGAGATGATTTAGACACGATTAGAGAAGGCCATGAGAAGCATCGGTGAGAAGAATGCAATAGATAGCTCAATAAAGAGAGATAGAAAGAGATGAAAAAATATTTATAAAATTATTGAACGAGATCTCTTATCAACATTTCTAAAAGCTTGATTGATAATAGAGCATGATAATGTCATGTAATTTACATAATTCGTCCTACTTAGTGGGATGTTGTTGTATAATTAAATTATTTTATCAATTCTCTTTTCATCTATTTAATTACTATCATAAGACATTATTATTAACTGCTAATGACCACAACTATCAACTAATTTTTAACTCTGAAATTCATTTTAAATTAACACGATGAAACAAATTTTTTAAAAATTGGTTTGAAAAATAATTTTAAAAAACAAAAGATAGAAATAAAACAAAACAAGTCCTGAGCCAAATTCGTAATTAAAAGATCTATACATTCCAAAGTTGGGGAATTATGAAGTTTGACAGAGGCGTCCATGTATTGAAAGAAGCAATGTTTTCAGAATTGGACTAGATATTGAATCGAAAAAGTAGCAGTTTACGGTTCGCATGGTTCAACCGTTTGGACCAATGGTCAAATCGGTGACCTAATAATTAAATTAAAAAATTATATATGTATATAATAATTTAAATATAAGAAATACATATGAAATTGTTAATTAACTTAAAAAAACTAAATATTTTAAGTTTATTATGATTTAACAAGCCACATGATATAACATAATATGAAATAATTAAAAAAATTAGTCATTTTTTTAAAAATTTGATATAAAATAAAAAAATTGGATCCGATTTTCAGCTTGATTCTGGTTCCCAGTCTGACTGTCGATTCGAAATGGCCAAACCCGGCTCAACTCCTAAAATGATTTTCTCATATGAACCAAATCAAAATTCAGATCGGTTGATGGTTGGACTGATTGGACCGTCTAATTCGGTCTGATTTTAAAAACATTGGAAAGAAGAGAACCATTAATAGCCCCCTAAAAAAGTAAAAAATGACTGAATTGAAGATCCTAATTTTGTGACATGACTCAATATTATATATGTATAGTTCCATCTATTTAAAGTTTGAAAATAAATCGAGAGCATTTCGTCCTCGATATCTCTAATCATTGGCTTCACCTAATAAAATTTGTACTTGAATTCTATTTATCTTGAGTAAAACTTCAAAAGGATTTAATTATTAGATGGTTTGATTAGTCTTTCTTTCTTATACCTAAGTTAAAAGTGAAATTATTTGATTTATGGAAGACAAATAACTACAAAAGCATTTGCTTATAATGTTTTCATTAATTATGAACAAAAGTTGGTGGCATTGATAGTTACAAAACTCTAAAATTTGTACTCCCTCCGTCTCAAAATATAAAACACTTTTGAAAGAGTTTTTCCATCCTAAATATAAAATATTTTGAGTAGATTAATGTTTCATTAAATATATTAATTTTAATATTACTCTTTCTCTCTATATAATTAATTTCTATCACTTCTCTTTCAATATATTAAATGATGAGTATTTTGAAAAGTTTATATTTTTTGTTTTAAAAAGATAAGATTGTTAAGTGTATTTAATAAGATTTATTTACATGTAAAATTTTATCTAAAAATATTTTATAATTCAAGACGAAGGAAGTAAATATTAAGCCCAATTTGCAATTTTGTTTAACTCTAGAAATTAGAGAACAGGAAATATTACTCTTTTTTTATTTGGCCAACAACAAAGAAATATTGCTCAAAGACTTACATAAATTCAACACATATTGTAACAGACTTTCACGTGACAATTCACAACTTTACAAAATGTTTGTAGTGACCGTTGAAAACGAACTTTGCAATCAGTTTCAATAATAAATGCAGGCAGGCTAGATCAGTCAATGGTGGCTTTACGTGACTAAAGCCTAATTTATCAAATTTCACTAAAAAAAAAAAAGAAAAAAGCCTTCTTATCAACTGTTTTTATGTACATGAAGTTCCGTGCTCAATTATTTAACTCATTTTCATGCTCTACGATTCACAATCTTATTTATAGAATAAATCATGATCCATATATATTTGTTTAAAAAAACCAAGAAGTAAAAGGTATTTGATAGTGTTTACTAAAATAAATCCAAATCACAATACTACTTTTTTTAAAGTCAAACTAGTATCTCTATAAGATTTTTGCTTTTTCCTACATGGAATATAACTTATTTTTTATTTTCTTCCAAGTGGGGAGGGGGACTGGTTGACATCTGCCGCCCTAATTAAAAATAAATAATCTAAAGTTTGACTTGCAAAACTATAGTGTAATACTGTGGTAAATACCTAATTAATTAATTAATTATAAAAGTAGAAAATTGGAATTGTTTGCGTTTTCATACAACGAAAATTATTTGAGATTATGAAAATTATAATTTAATATACTATTATTAAAATTTAAACAATTTTAAAAATATTACTCTTTATAACCTTATATATAAGTCACCTAAAAAGAATTGATAAGTACTCATTAATTACTTCTTTTTTCAATTTTATCTATTTAAAATTTTTTATAAGTAGGTAAAAATTTACCTATGTATAAGTGAGAAATTTTTTTAAAGGTAATATTTTTAATATAGGTAAATTGAGAAAATTTTTTTAAATAATATTAATATTAATAATTGAACTGTTTTTCTCTAATTTAATGTTTGTCCTTTAATAATGTGTCTCACTTAGGGGTGATTGGTTGAATAATTTATTTATTAAATAATTTTTTTAAAATTTATTAATTATATCTTAAAAATAAAAAATCTTATATTTTTTAATATTTATTTTTTAAAAATATTTTATATTTTTAAAAGACAAAAATAAAATATACTCCCTCCATCTTAAATTATAGAATATTCTTCAAAGAATTTTTTATTTTAAAATATAAGATATTTTATATAAATTAAAATTTTCATTAATTTTAATATTATATTTTCTTTTTTTATAATTAATTTTTGTCTCTTCTTTTAATATATTAAATAATAAATATTTTTAAAAATTTATATTTTTATTTTAAAAAATAAAATTATTAAGTATATTTAATAAAATTTATTAATATATAAAATTTTATTTAAAAATATTTTATAATTTAAAACGCGAAGCAATACGTTATTTAATTTTTTATCTCCCCAATTTTCGCGGTGAACAATCCATCCCGGTTCAGAAGGCGTCTAGTTTGAACCAAATGTTTAAGTTTTATCCTTAAACAGTTGTCTGATGTACATTCTTATCTCACGCGCTACTTGAAGCGTGTATTCACATCCCCAATGATCAGATGAGACAGCGATCCCGCCATTTGTCGACGGTCGTTTGGTGAACACGTGGACCCACGTCACTTTCCCGCAAGCAATATTCAAAATGAAAACACATCGACGGTCGGATTTTCTTACACGTCATCTCGTCGTCGTCTCCAAAGTCAACCGCCAACCTCTGCTTTCTCTCCCTAGAGAACCTCTTTCTCTCACCAGAAAAAATTTTCCCCTCGGCTTCGTCGTTGTCGTTGCCAGGGAGGCGATCCATGTAGTTTGATTCGATTCTTTTCTTGCTCAGTGTGTGTGAGAGGGAGAGAGAGGGGGGGAAGGTTTCGTGAATCGGAGAAATGGGCGAGTCTTTCTTCGATCTTTGGGAATTTTTGAAGAAACCCTCGATAACCGAGACACTTGTTGACATTTTGCTATGCGCAGTCCCGATTTGGTTTGCTGTGATGGTTGGCTTGGTCATCGGCTGGTCATGGCGGCCCCGATGGAATAGTATCGTGTTCCTTGGTTTTCGGTGTAAGTTCCGGCTCCTCTGGACGGCTCCGCCGGGCTTTGGTGCTCGTCGGCTCTGGTTGGCATTCACAGCACTATCTGCTTTCTCCATTTGCCGCACGATTTGGTCGAATTTTAGAGGAAAGGGCAAAGGTCAAGCTGGGCAATCAGTGAATGTAGCGGCGGAGATATCCAAAACTGGGGAGGAAAGCAGTGAGGTTGCTGGGTAGGTTCTTAATGTCCGATATCTTTTACTGGCTACTCACTATCTTTTAATTGAGTATTTAGTCAAATTTACTCTGTTCTACGCTATGTTTGAAACATTTCCTTTTTTTTTAATGGATTATTGATTATTGATTTTCAATGAAACGATCGACCGTAATGAGGTCTTAGCCTGTTCAAATTTTGGATACTAAGAAAGGAGAAGCACACTTTGTTCGATCCCGGGTTTAAGTCATCTGTGCTTTAAGCCTTCCTTATTATCTATTGGGGGTGTTAGACTATGAATGTTCCTTGTTATCAGTCACTGTTCGTTATCCATATTACTCTAATCTGTGTATTGAGGTTTTGTTGTTAATCAATTTCTTATCCCTTTGTAATTAATTGTTCCTATCTGCAGAATAGCTGCTTAATATATTTGTAATTGTATTACCAGTGAAAGAATGAAGTTTTTTATTCTCGTCATAACTGGGTTATTGGACATTTACTAGGCCTGGTGTTAAAATTGGAGAGAAGGAGCATGATATCGTCAATCAGAATGATTTGGATCATCTCCTTTATCTTCTTGAAGGGAAGAATGGAACGATGGACTGGCAAAGTTTGATGCAGATTTCAACACCAAATATGTCATATCAAGTTTGGCGTCATCAACCTCAGGTTTCTGATTTTCAACTTTCAAGTTTTATCTCGTATGTTTCCTGTCTATATTAGATGACAACGTTCGTGCGTTCAGTATATGAGGAATTTGTATGGATTTATGAAGCTGAGCTATTGCTGCTTAATATTTGTAGTTGTTCCAATTTACTTTATATATATATATATATATTGATTGATTGATTGATTGATGATTTTGATTTTTAATTATCATTTACTTATATATATTAGTAGACCATTAGAATTATTTCTGCATCTGATGTTGAATTCGTTATCAGACAGGTCCTCTAGTTTACCAGAGTAAAACGGTCTTTGAAGATGCAACTCCAGAGTTGGTAAGGGATTTCTTCTGGGATGATGAGTTTCGCCTTAAATGGGATTCTATGCTTGCATACTGCAAAATATTGGAGGAATGCTCACATAATGGCATCATGTTTTCCCATTGGATAAAAAAGGTATTAGTCTAGAGGTATAAGATGCTTGCTTTTGAATTTGTTCAATGCAATCACTATTTCTTAATTTTTTTTTTCTTTCTATTTGCAGTTTCCATTTTTCTGTAGTGACCGAGAATATATAATTGCTCGAAGAATATGGGAGAGTGGAGATACATTCTATTGTGTTACAAAGGTACTAGTTGTTACCAACATTTTCTCCTATTTTATGGCCTTTTCCTCACTTTCTTTTCCTGTCACTACAGCAAACCTCCGCTGCTCTTCTATGTTCTATTATTGGATTTAAAAAAAAAAAAAATATCACTTGTTCAGAGACACTTCCAGCGGAAGGGGCTCTGTAGTTCTTCCTGAGAACAGTTGAATCAGCATGATTTATACTCAATACAATAGGAAATGCCAGCATTAATTATTATCCTATGGAAGATAAAAGCAAGTGTTGACCAATCAAGGATCTTGTCATTTTGTTAGGTTTAGTCTCAGAATGATAGAGTTGAAGTTTTAACAGGACAAAAGACAGCTTTCTTTTTCTTGTCATGAATGGCATGGCGCATGTGAAGATCCAAATCTATGTAGAGCTGCTTCCCACTGGAAGCCCATGGGGTAAAAAGGAAAGTGGAGAGAAATCCATTCATTTCTTCTTCTTCTTCTTCTTCCTTTTTTTTTTGTCCTTTTTCAGTTGACGACAGCCTTTTTGGGCTAACTTCATGAGAGGGGTGGAGTGGAAGATTATGTTTTTAGGCTCTACAAACATGTTCTTAATTTAGTTGCTACAAGTGTTAGATGACACTAAAATTTACCCAAGCTAGTTAAGCTATGGCAAATTTTGAGTAATTTTAGTGAAATTTTTCTGTAATAAACTATTGTCTGGTTTTTCCAATTAAGTTATACAGCTGGGATGATATATTGTGAAACAGTTATACATGCTCATCCGGTATATGTGGAATTGATAGAACTATAGAAGGGTTAGAGTACAGTTCCTTGCTATCAAGTTATATAAAATTATAACATTTAAATTTTCTTTTTAAAACATCCAATCGTGCAATACTAAGTTGTGTATATGAAAACTATATAATTGTCATATTTCAACCTGAGAACGTAAATAGTAAATATTTAAAAAAAAAAAAAAGCTGCATATAAGTTTTTCTTCTAAGGACTACCTAATACCTATATTTCCTTCCATGGTGCAACTTTCCATTTTTGTATTTCTTGGTTCTTGCCACACCTTCGCTTATTTCTATATCCTGTGGTCTGTATGATTTTGATATTTAATTGCATATTGTATCCTTTCTATGATGTAAAACAATGATTTAGAATTTTAGATTGCACTACGCACTCCATTAATGGCAAAATTTTCAATTCTAGTGATCAGGTGCTATTCTGTTGCCTTCACTATCCCTATACTAATCTCCCTCCTTCAATCACAAAATTTCTGAGTTCATTCATGTACACAGATATAATTTATTCCTTACAAGAAGGTCCATTGTTCATAGCAATTCATATAACATGCTTTTACTATCAATACTCCCATGACCAGTAGAAGTAGTTGTTTTGAATAAAAAAACGAATGCATAAAGTTTTTTCTGCTTAAACTTGAAGTTTCTTACCATTTGGGAGTATATTACAGGGGGTGCCGTATCCAAGTATACCCAAACGTGACAAGCCCAGACGAGTAGAGCACTATTTTTCTAGTTGGGTCATCAAGCCTGGTAAGATTTTGCTGTTATCATTATGTTGACAATAATGTGTTCGCTAGGAAACTTGACATCCCATTCACCACATTTTGATTCTTGATGCAGTTGAATCGCGCAAGGAGATGGCCAGCTGTCTGCATGCGAGGTAACCCTTTTACATTATGAAGACATGGGGATTCCAAAAGACGTAGAGAAGTTGGGAGCTCGACATATCATGTCTGGCGTTGTCAAGAAATTGCACTCTGGATTGAGAGCTTACCAGAATGATCGGAAAACCGAGGCTTCTCTGTCAAGATGTGCAGCGATGGCAAGGATAACCACCAAGCTTTCTTCTGTAAAAAGCCTGAATTCTTTAGGTCCTGCCAATGAGGAAGAGGAAGGTGAAGTCATGATTAGTAAAGCAAATCATAAGGATCATGGCATAGACTGGAAGTGGTTGGTTTTAGGAGGGACTGTTGCTCTGGTTTTGGGAATTCATGGTGGAGCAATAGGAAAAGGGTTATTATTGGGAGCAGGGCACAGACTTGCAAGGAGATGAGTGGCACAGAATCAGGCCATAGGAAAGTTTCATTTGTTATCTTCTTTTTGAAGATTCATCATGTGTCTCATTTTACCTGCGTATTCATTATGTTGATGTTGATTGCATTGCATGCATGCATGCATGCAAATGCATGCTTTACTCGATGTGTATGAAACTGCAATTGCATGGGTATGAAACTAAACGACTCAGGTGGAATCTGTTAGGGAATGAGGTTGAAATATGATAAAGTTGTTAGAAATTATAGAAACTAGATGATTGGCATGTGTATTGCACAAGGTCTCATATCAACTCATACTATAAACTATATTATGGGCCCTCGTGTTGCAGAGGCCCATGTAACAAAGTCACATTATTTGTAGTTTTTATAGCAGGAGAATGGCGATGAAGTCTCAAAAAGATGAATTAATGACAATAAAGTTTTTGACAAAATTTTCTTTAACATAAATTATAAATTTTAATTCAAATAATTATAAATTAGAATTTAAATTGTAAGATAATTGTTATATTTAAAATTTAAATATCATATTTATAATTAAAACATTTGAATTTACAAATGTTTGAATTGATATTTAAAATTAATTTTTTAAAAAAAATTGTTAGAGACTTAATTATTATTATTTTTTTTTTTTGAGGTTTAACTATTATTTTCTCTATGCAACTTTCTATAGATATATTTGATATATATAGATGATAAAATTAATATATAATTTATAAGTTACTATGAAACAAAGTTACCAATAAATAAAATCGTAACATCAACAGCAAAATTGGAACTGGGCTATGTCACTTTCGTTGCACTCAACAAAGATGCAGGGTTACTTTACTATTTGTGTTGCATGGCTTGAGCTTTTTCCTTTGTTTCGTTCATGCACGTATACAGTGGTGCCAGGATCTTAAATTATGAGATACAATATTTTTAAAATTAATATTTTAAAAACAATTTAAAAAAGTTTGAACCCAAAATCTTTAAAGTTGGATTAAGAGATGCAAAATATTGAAATACATAAATCTTTCTTATAATTTTTTCCAAACCTAAGGGTGCATTTGCCCCCTTTAGCTTCATTGTAGCGCCGCTCAGGTGTGCACACTTCTAAAGTGTTCTGTGTGTTTTTATTGAACCTAATTATTCATGCTACGTTGAAATTAATTTAAACACGATTAGTTTTACTTTGTCCTACTTCTTACAAATTTAAATGGTTATGTATAGATGCTATTCATCTTTCTTCTTTTTGTCAATTTTTGTACATATATTTATCTTAATGTCATCTTAATTAATACTTCATGTTTTATTACTATTAATTAAATCTTTTGATGTGGTTATTTGATTGGTCTATATTTGAGTATTGTCGGACTCAATTAGAGTGGTTTTTCAAAAGTATTTTCTACATTCATATATAATTCAAATTTAAAATTTCATATTCAGGTGGCTATAACCCCTTCTATTAGGATTAACATTGACTGTTTATTACTATTAAATTTTGTAGCTCTATCCAACCAGTGGAACTTATTTTCTAGTTCTAATAAACTATTGTTTATTGATGTTTATAAACTTGACCACCCTCAATGAAGTTTAAACTTCAAAAAAATTCAACATATATTTGTCAATGCCTTGACTTTTTCTTATATTTTTAGTTTATGATCACTTCTATAGCCAGATTTTACTTCCATGCATTCTTTTTTATTTTTGTGGGGTTCAATTAAATAATATATATATATATTTTCTCATCCTTTTTATAAAAAATTTTTATATGTTCTTTTGGTCTTATTTAAGTAGAGTCGGGGTTTGAATTGATTGGCCCTTTTAAACTCAATTATATCTCACGGGTCCATTTTGCATAAATTGGCCTTGGCCCTAAGAGCGTCAGCCTTATTTTTTTCATTCTTTAAATTAAAAATCTAAAAAAATATTTAAAATCCAAAAAAAATTACAAATAACATTAAATCTAGAAAAAATAAGTTTAAATCAATCCACACAATAATAAATTTAAGTCTAATAAAAAATAATAACATTCCAAAATCAACTATATAACAATTAGACTTTGCTAATATCATCAACTAAATGTTGATGATTTTTATTGTTATTAATGTTAAAATAATTTGATCCTTCTCCTTCTTGAGCTTCATCAATGGCTATAGTTTTCTTTTACTATGGTGTTTATTTTTTACATATTGAATTTAATATATATATATATATATAAGGGCCTATAAGGTCGGCCCTTTTATTTTCGAGCTTAAAAAGGCTTTTTTTTAAGTCTAATTTATTATTTTTCACCTTAAAGTAAGAGCCTAACATTGAATTTTCATATTTAAAAGAGCTGGTTTGACAAGCTCTGCCATAATTGACAATTCTATATTTGAGAAAAACAAATATTTTTTCATTTAATGCATTTATTTAAAAAATTATTTTATACTCTAATTAAGAATTGAACCACCAGTTAAAGTTCTTACTATCATTATTAAATAAATGAGTCAATTTGTGAAAATAAAATTTGATCTCTAATGTATTTATAGCTTTTAAATGAATGTGAGAGAATCTTATTAAAATGATTTAATTGATATAATTTATATGTACAATAATATTTTTTTTTCAAATTATAAAATATTTTTGAAAAAAATCTCATGTACCAACAAACTTTATTAAATATATTTAACAATCTTATTCTTTTAAAATAAAAATATAAGCTTTTAAAAACTCTCTTCATTTAATATATTTAAACAAAAAAATGGAAATTAAATAGAAAAGTATTAAAATTAATTTATTAAACTCTCTTCATAATATTTTTCCTCCTCTCCTCTCCAAACCCTTCCCTTTAAAATAGGGGGTTATTATCTTAACACAACTACTGAGTTTATGAGAATTTTAAAATATTTTAAGCTTTGTTAGATTGTTAAGTTACCTAAAATCAATATATATTTTGATTTCATAAAAACTTTATCCCTTATTGATCATAATCTGTTTGACATGTCTTCTCTCTAAATATATCAAGAAAATTAAGGAGCTCACCTTGAACAATTAAGAAATCACTTTTGACTATATTTATTGAGAAGCGAGTAAACGCGCCAACTTATTAGCTCATCAGACTTTGAGAGACAGTTTCAATATTATGATTTTGGATAACCCACCTCTTGATTGCATCAATTTTATGATTTCAAATATGACGGATTTTCCATGGCTTTGGGGAGATGGAATAAAATTTTGTCGTATGGGGACTAATTTATCCCTGATATATTTTGATAATCCAGAAAAGCCCATCCCTAATAAAATCTAATCACTTCATTGTCTTCCTCCTCCGGACCCTACCATTTCTCTCGCACCATTCTCAACCGTGACCAGTGACCTGCAATAGTGTTCGTTGCTGTCGCAACTCACCTCGCCGACGCCGTCCACATCTCGGTTACCGTTTCCCTTCAGGTTTCGCGTTAGCCCCTCTGTTGTTCTGTTTGTTTATTAGATTCCGTTCATATCCAAAGGCCTGTCGTACATGAAAGCTTTGCAAATAGTATTCCGTTCATCATATAGACGCAAGCCAATGACTACTGAGTACAACTAATTTATTTACAAATAATGCATCACTTTGCTTGGGAGTCCATCAATATTCCAACCATTAGCTTAATTAATAAACATATGTCATATTTGGTAGTATTGAACAGCATTTTGTGTAAAGTTATGCAAAAGTCTTTCAGTCCTGTCCAGTTCAATCCAACTCGAGATGATTTCAGTCTTGTTCGATCCGTATAGATACTGATTCTTCAAGATCAAAAAGACTGAAAAGATCAGACTATTTCTTCGGATTGGACTAGATAAGAAGCTAGGCATCTGGACCACTTGTTCCAATCCAATCCTATTAATTTTTTATTATAATTATAATTAATTTATTTTGACAAATGTTTGAAATGTAATTGATCCTAAGAAGATGATTATATGAAAATTTATTGAGCTTGTTTCTAAATTATTATTGTAATGTAGTATTGTTAAATTTTCTTGAGTGCTATTTTTGTTAAAGTTATAAATTTAAATTATTTGAACTCTAACAAAATATTTTTTTCTTATTATGAAAAATTATTATGAATTTATTATTATTATAAGTGTTTTTACTATCTTAATTGAGTTTATTATGTTGAAATGGATTATTGCCTTTCATGGAATAAAAAGGGCAAAAAAAAAAGATAAGTGAGTACTGGACTGACAAAATCAGTTTCCCAATCCTATGAACTAAGTCTAATCCTGTTAATTTTTGAGTTATTATTGAACAAGACTAAACTATGGGTTGCCTAACCTAATTCTTTTATAAAAGAGACCTCAAGTTAAGGTGAAGTTCAGTACTGTCCTGTCTTTTGTGCAATCCTAATTCTACATGTCTAGCTATTACCTAAGGGCTGTTAGTATTGATTATGAAAATAATCGATTAAATAGTTAATTTTAATCATAATTGATTATGTTATAACACAATCTGTTTGAATACTATTTTTTTAAAATTAATTATAGCAGAATTGAAGATGTTTGGATGATTTATTTAAAATTAATTTTAATCGTATAAATTATCATAAAAGACATTATTTTTTAAAATTAAATTATTGATAAATTTGTATATAATATTGTTAAATTTGTTAAATTTTATTTAAAAAGTAAAATATATTATTTAAATTATATATCTGATTAAATAAAAAATTTAAATTATATTAATATTAACAATTTTAATTTACATAAATAAATAATTCAATTTGAATAAATTTAATAAAAGAGAAAAATTTAATTCTTAAATACTAAACATCCATTTTATAATAACTAATGAAGATGATAATATACAAGTTGATCTCTAATGACATCATGAATATAAGTCACATCTGATAAAGATGTTAAACACCATCTAAAATTTTGACAACATAAAAAATGTAGCAATGTAAAAATGATGCATAATCTCTTTCTTTCTAGGCTTTTGTAACAATCTTTGTAATGACCTTTAATTTTAAATTAAATTAAATTAATTTTTCTTTACCAATTAATATTTTATTTTAATTAATTTTATAATAATACTAAGTGGAGGGTGATGGTTGACAGAAATTTATACTAATAATTTTTTTGAAGATTTAAAGTTTGAATTCTATTATAAAAAAAATGGAAGAGAATAAAATTTAGTTTTATTTTTATTAAATTTTGTACCTTTTGTATAATTTTTTCTTCTTAAGCCTTTCTTATAATTTTCTTACATGCCTTTATAATATCACCGTAAAAGTTGCCTCTTGCAGCTTTGGAAGAAAATTAATTTTTCCAAAAAAATCAATTTTTTTGGAATATTAGTGTTTGAGTAATTATTTGAAAAATTGATTTTTTAACTCCAAAAATCAATTTTCTTCCGTATCCAAATACGCACTAAGTAGACAAAGCTGACAACTTAGATAATATGATTCAACGTCTCTAGCATTGAAATGTGATTGAATTTGTAAGTTATAATTGCATCAAGTTGCTGTCTTTTTGTTAAAATTAAATTAATGGGCATTCTACTTGTCTGTTCCGTTTTCTTTGCTGTCTTTGTAGGCTATAATGGCATCAATTTGCTTTCCTTCTAGTTTCCATATATCTTATGCTTTCTAAAAAGTAACAGATGGTAAGTGGGGTAACTTAACTTGGACTATTCAATGAAAATTATAGAATGACTAGAAAAAAAGATGTTAGAAACAAACACTGCCACCAGTGAACAATAAAACTTAGCTTGGATTAGTAATATGGATGAACATTTGATTGATGCTTTTCTTTATGAGCACAATCATGATGGCAAAGTGAATGGGACATTCACTAATACTATTTATGACAACATTGTGAGAGAAATGATTGCTTTATTTAAGAACAAAATTGACAAGGAAAAAGTTAAAAATAGTTAGAAGACATTAAAGAAAAACTTCTCAAAAGTTTTTGCCATATTCAAAAATGGCATGAGTGGGTTTGCTTGGAATCCAGATGCTTGTTAATGGGATGCAGAGCCCAAGTTTGGGATAGTTTGATTGAGGTGAGATTGCTTTTTATTTGTGTTTCTCTTTGGTTATTGTTATTGTTGTTGAATACCTTATTTTTACTAATAACTTGCTTTTTTAGGTTAAACCAAAAGCAACACATTAGAGAAATACACATTTCCCTAATTATCAAAAGATGGTTACACTTTATGGATATGATAGAGCCTCTGTGAAAAGATCTTGATTAACTTTGAGATAAGAAAATAATCACATATATCCATCCAACCAAAGATAATGGTTGAAATTGTTGATGAGTTTGACAATCTTATATCACTATTAAAAAAATATAAATTAGTGAGAGATCGTCTGTTCCTTTTTAAAATATTAAATTAGCAAAATAATTAATGAAAGATATTGATTTCATAACTTGACTTAAAATTAGCTAGGAAAATAATGAGGAACTGTCAATCTTTCTTTAAAGTAAGAGAATTAGCGATGCAAATAGCGAGGGATTGTCAATCCCTCTCTAAAATAAAATAATTAGTGAGGAATTCTATCCCTAACTAATTATTGCAAATTTAATTAGATATTTAATTATTTTTAATTATATATTAATTATTTTTATTTAAAAATTAACTAAAATATTGTTAATAAAATTATTTAATATTTAATATTTTATTTATTTTAAGTTGGTTTTCATTAATAAAATAATATTTTATTGAAAATATAATGTAAAGAATAATTTAAATAAAATATAAATATTTTTAACATATTAATAATTGAAATAAAATCTAATATGTATATATGTGTGTATTTTTATAGTATTTTATTTGATATATTTATATAGTTAAATAATATATATTTAATTTCTTATATAATGACTGTAAGTGCCTTTCAGTTTAACTGATAAAAAAAAGAGCATAAAGCTTGGAAAGTATGAGTCAAGGGTTCAAGTCTTGATTTTGATATAAATATAATGAATATATAATATAATAAGAAGCAAGTGATATGGTGTAAGATGAAAAATGACATGTTATGAGTTGTTGCACATGTGGTGGCTGATAGGACACAAGATTGTTGGTGAAATGTCACAAGTTAACGCATATATGACGGGTAATGTGACATTACTATTTTTAAATATAGGCATATTTTTAGCAAGGGACTAATCCCTCACTAAATTATCAAATTTTGAATATATTAGCCAGGGATTAGCAAGAGATTTAGTCCAATTGAATTCCTCACTAAGTATTGAGGGAAATACGATTCCTTGTTAAATTTAGTGAATCTTTTTTAACTACAAATTTAACGAGGAACAAAATCCCTTACTAAAACGTAATTTAGTTAGAGAAAATGGCATTTAGTGAGAGATTGGTGTATCTTAAAATGATATTGCTTTGGAAAACTTTCTAATTGAGGATTATTCCTTTGAAATAAACAATGCAAGTAACAAGAAGAGCAAACAAGGATCAACATTCAAACAGAAAAAAATTGAATATTTTGCTAGAATTGATGGAGCTATGGTTGAGGTTGCAAATGTGATTAAAGAAAGAAACGCTATATTAAAAAGAAACAATGCCTACCAATTGCAGGAGAAGCAGCTTTGAACATGATTGAAGAAAGTGGGTGTAACACAGACAAGATTTCTACTATATATTGCTTCCTCATCAATGATCTTACGAAGCTTAGAGAGCTATCATTGTTTGTCCACTAAGAGCACGCAAGATAGTCATTATGAGCATGTTTTTTGGTTATTAGATTAGCATGTGGCTGCATATTTAAACTACTATTTTGTTGATATATTTGCATTCTCCATGATTTAGTCCTTCTATAAACAAGATGTTTCTTTTTTATCATGGCATTTGTTCATGTCATGATTTTAATATTTTGTTGTATGCTCTTTAATTGAGCACTACATTCCCCACTTTTTGTAGACTAAATGGTAGATCATGCACTTTTTGTAGACTAAATGGTAGATCATGCAACTGATATATATAGTTATAACATATAATTAATTGCAAGTTCTAATTGGTCCAATTTTATTATATATATTTAATGCATGTAGTTATAGCTTCTAATTGATTATTATATATATTTTTAAACATTTACATTAATAAATATATATAACTATATTAACTATATAATTCGAATTATATTTATATATTATGATTATAATTTAACTTACATCCTAGTTTTGTCCTGATATTTTTAAAATTCACAGATATATTTTATTTAATATTTAAAAAGTAAGAAAAAATAATGTTAATAAGGTACAGATATAATTATTTATGTGTAATTATTTTTATTTCTCTCCGTCAGTTAAAATCTCTCCCCTTCTCTCTCATTAAACCAAACAGACTGTAAATCATTTTCCCCGCCCGCACTTCGACCGAGCGCGATTCAGGCCGCCAAGATCTGAGATCGACCTGCCGCCGCTCTTCTGCTTCCTTTACTGCAGGGTCGAGTCCTTCTCGTTCTCTGTGAGTTTCGCTTCACCTTACCGCGACTGGTTCACTCCACGGCCACCGTGTTTCTAATAGACCGTCTCTGCACGACCTAGTCCGTGCACTTGCAGTCTTGCTCTCGCGGCGGAAGACCGAAGCTGCCAAGCTGGTAAAGTGGAATATGTTCTTTCCTATTCTAATAAATTTTTGTTGGTCTTAGCTATAGCATCTACAAACTGCAATTCATATGATTATTTGATTCTTTCTAAAACGGAGCATCTGTTTCCTATTGTAATGCTCTTCTGTTGTATTCACTATCTGATATGTTGCATTAACAATGCTTTGTTTTATTAATAATTTCATTGTCGTCTGAACTTAAGATGAATCCAGTTTGATTTGGAATTCTGACAATATTCATATTTATTTGGTAGACTTAAAAATAGAGACTTTCTGTTGATAGTCTTAAATAATTTTAATTTTAGAATTTTGGTTTATATAATATAAAGGATCACTGGAGTCTCTATGAGGTACTTGAGAGAGTTGTAGTGACATGTTATGAAATACTCCCTCACTTTCTTATTGCAAGGCACTTTTAATCAAGAAAAGTGAGGTTTTTTTCCCTTGATATCATTCCTTTTTTTAACCATTAATAATACAATGATACGATTATATTAAATACTTATATGTTATTAAAAAAAGGGTAACATTGAAAAAAGTAGTTCAACCATTGCAGGGTGTCTTACATTTTGGACAAAAAAATTCTTCTACAAAGTGTCCTATAAGTAAGAGTAGAGGGAGTAAATTAGATGGGCTGGACCACTTGAGAGCTCCAAGAATGAAAATACACCTTATTCATTTGGCCGCCTGATAGCTCACTTCCATTCCTATTTATGCATACTTCCACAAGATACAAACAAGTAAATCAATCCATCTTTTTTTAATTTTCATTTCCAACAATTTTGAAATATTTTGTTGTTCAACACATGCTGTTATTGCTTTTATTTTTGAATTTGCATTAGAAATAAATAATTTTGAAAAAATATTTTCAATTGTCAAAATTTATTTCAATAAAATTATTTGTGCAAGAAAAAAGCAACCAAGAAACTTATACTTTTTTTAAATAATTAGTTTGTTCTTTCTCTCTGTTTTGTTTGCCTCTCTCTTTAGAAAGAATGAAAGGATGATGATTCTGGCATTTTTTGGGGTCTGAATGCTTTTGTTTGTCAAATTGAAGTGGAGTACTTCTAGGGTCAAAGAGAAAGCGTTGCCAACCCTTTACAGAGCTTTGCCAAGGGAAGAGAAAAGCCATGAATGCGCCAGATCGTTACGAGCGATTTGTCGTCCCTGAAGGCACCAAAAAGTAATTTGATTATCTACTTTTTTCCATTTTCCTGTTCATCTGATTTGATTATTTTCCCTTTTGTTATATATTAAGGGTCTCTTACGAGCGGGACACCAAGATCATCAATGCTGCATCCTTCACTATTGAGAGAGAGGACCATACAATAGGAAATATTCTTCGCATGTATTAGTTTTATCTTTCAGTTATATTTTCCAAGTTGCTTTTTTCGTTACTGTCTGTTAATGTTCATCAATATAAATACTAACTCTTGTTTGTATTTTTGTTGTGATCAGGCAATTGCATAGAGACCCTAATGTGTTGTTTGCCGGATACAAGCTTCCTCATCCTCTTCAATACAAAATCATTGTCAGGGTCAGTATTTCTTGCATTTAATTGCTAATGAATGGCTATTGATGTTTGCATTTGTATTTTTTCCCCATGCATGATTAGCATTTGTGAACAGCGCAAAATGTTTGTTGATTGAGTTCAAAAGCAATGTCAATTGAATTTTAATCTGTGCATCTGGAGATATGTTAATGTTTGCCTTTAGTCTTGGAGGTAGTATAAAAATTCATTTCTCAATAATTGAATCAATAAATCATTAATTTTTTTTTATTGCTTCATTTTCAGATCCATACCACAAGTCAGTCTTCACCAATGCAGGCATATAATCAGGCTATTAATGATCTTGACAGGGAACTAGATCAGTTGAAGAATGCCTTTGAGGTGTGATAAGTGTTTTTTGTTATTGTGTTGTTAACCGTGCATCCAAGCTCAATGACATCATTAATGTTTGGTTTTCATCATTTGACCTTAGGGATGATATTAGTTGCAAAGTCGAGTTCATTACTTATGTACACTGAATATAAAACATCAGATATCAATAGGCTAGGCTAGGCTTGTTACATGGATTTCATTTGCGTATTTGTTCTTTCCATATTTGCTCACTTATACTTATGGAATAATTGTTGATCAATTGAAATTCAACCTTCAAAACTCATTCTGCATCAAGAATTTCTTTGGTACCAAACCCATTTTGTTGAATACCATGGCAACTAATAGTCAAATTTAATTGCAGGCAGAGATGCTAAAGTTTTCAAGGGATTATTGATGGGCATTTCACATGCTCATGAAAGTATGATAGCGTTGTGCAGATGTAAGGATTGTGGGTTCTTGTTTGTCTTCCCCCGGTGGGGATGGGCATCTAATTGTGTATTGCATGGGACTAGTTAGGAAGATTGTGTTTTATTTTGAAACTTTTCATGTCTGTGAAATTATAATTTTAGTGTTTTGGAATGTATAATATAAAGGATCACTGGACTCCTTAAATAATCCTAAACCACATGAATGACCAACTGGAGAGTTTTTGTCTCGACCTATTTTGAAATGAAGAGGGATTCCAATTATTTATTTGGCCATTTGATAGAGTTTTGTCATAATTCCATCCTAGTTGTCGATACATCCTAGTTATGGGTGCGTGTTGTCAGAAGTGTCTATTTTCCTAAGGAGGTTTTCATTGATGCTATAAAGGGGTCTAAAGCTTCCTGGATCTGGTCTAGTATTATTGAGGGTAGAGATTGCTTAAAGAAGAATTTGCGCTGGGATATTAGGGATATCAAATGTTGAATTTCCTGTGAAGCCTAAAGATAATCATTCGTTTATTTCTTATTGTTAATGTTAGTAGCCACTTCCTGGTCCTGTTCTAATGCTATTATCAAGATTCCCCCTTGCCAAAGAATGGAATAAAAGATACACTTGTATGGACTCCAGGAATGGTATAGTATTTAATTTTGTTGACCCTAACCCAAGCAGTGTAATGGAAAAATCCACCAGCTGGCGCTCTCAAAAGTAATGTGGATTGTGCTTTTCTAGGAAATTATAATTCTGCTTCCGTTGGCGTTATTTGTAGAGATGAGAATGGTTGGTTTTAATGGTGGTTTGTTGACAAAGTTCAATCCATCTCAATTTTCATGACAAAGGCTCTAGATGCTTGCTATTGATCTTGGCCATGATAGAGTCTATTTTGAATCTGATTGTAAACTCCTGGTCAATTGTAAGTGCAAAAGTATTATACAGGATTGCATAGAAGCTTTGGTATCTAAGGTTGGGTTTTTCCTCCTTTTAACTCCTCATTGGGGTAATCAAGCAGCTCATGCTAGTAAGGTAGTGAGCCCTATGAGGTGGGTGTTTGAAGTTTGAACCATCACTTTCTGTCTTCTTTTCTACTATCTAATGCGCATGAAGCTCTATCTTCATCCAGTGATGCTTCACCTCTAAGCACTTGAGTTCCCATGGAAAACAGAAGAAATGGGTCAAATAAGCAGACGAAAGTAAGGCTTAGCAAAGTTTAGAGACATAAGTCTTGAACCAAATGTATTCAAGCAAGTTAAGCATAAAATAAGAACGTAAGGCGAATGAAAAGGGCTACAAATGTAAGTGAATAGATGGAGTATAAAGAGTTGAGAGTTCCAAGGAGAAGTTAAAATTTCCTATGTAAATAGGAGAGAGCTGGTAAAAGTTAACAAAAAAAGTATGAATATAAAGAGTATAAAAATATTAGGGAAAGCAAAAATTTTAAGTCAAAGCCAAGGTGGGGTTAGAAAAGTAATAAATGATTGGGCATGAAAGCTACAACTCAATAGAAAGGCCAATGCTTGAGCAAGGAATATTGCCGAGTAAGTAAAAGAGACAATATAAGATGACAAAAATTAGTAAGCAAAGGACAAGTTATAGCAAAAGTAATAGGCTTAACGCATGAAAGGTACGAAAAGGCAAATAGTAAGAAGAAAAAAGTTAAACGAAGTAGAAAAGCTAAGAGTGAAGTTAAAGAGTAATATCAAAGATATTCTTCTCAGTAAATCTTTCAATAATGAAATTCACATTTATCAAATGGTATGAATAGAGTTAGCAAAAAAAAAATGGTATGCATAGAGGATTTAATCCTCAAATATCAAGGACAAAATTTTAATTAGAGAAAAATCGTAACATCCTAAATTTTGAACTTAGAAGCTCAAGAATATTTTAAAACTCAGTAAGTTATTAAGTCCAAGTAATCAAGAGTCCTAAAGGTTTTTAGAAAAGATATAATAGTTCTCAGGGACTAATCATAATTTTAAAGTTTTTTCTTGGACAAAAGTGTAATATTCTAAGAAACATCAAGGAAGTGTCTTTAATTAAAGTATGAGCAAGTTATGGATTATAAGAATCTAGGGTAGTCTAAAGGAATAAATAAGCCATAGGAGAGCAATAGATGTTTCTAAAATTAGTCTTGGAAAACAATCAGTGTGGTTGCCAAACTAAATAGAGATAGCTGATTCACAATTTTATCCTTATGTTCTAAGTCTTATAAAAAAGATTGTAGTTAGAATCTACATATTATAATAGATCCAAAAAGGACTCGGTTAGATCATAGCTAGATCTTATAGTCATAGTACACCTAAAAAAAAGTTACTGAGCCATAGAGCATATGATAGTTCGCTAGGAAGACGATAGCATAGAATGAGTTTAAAATACAAAGACCTATTAAGTTTGGCTAATTATTATAGAGAGAGTATCTTTGATTTTTTTTCTTAAAGAGCTCAACTACTAACTATGCTAAGAAATGAAAGAGAAGAAAAAAAAGTATTAGTAATAGCTTATCTAGAACCAAATGGTAATTATTAATGGTCAATCATAATTATATGTAATTAAATATAATGAGAGTATGAGAAAGTACTTAGAGTTAAAAATGAACGAGAGTGAATTTTAACTTGGAAATGTTGACCTCGACTAGGGTCAAAGTGTAATTTCTAAAAGTTTTGGGTGTCAAAGTGTAATTACAAAAAATTATCCAAATTTCATGGAGAATTAAAGGAAATTAGCATATGAAAGGAAGAAATATATGGAAGAGTCATACAATTTTATTGGTTAATAATTTTCCTATCATTTAGGTCAAGAAAATGTTCAAAATTCCTACCCAAGATTAAAAATTATAAAGAGCCCATTTTGCGCCCATTTTAGAGAAAGAAGGGCATGCCTATATGGGTAGAAATGGAGGGGTATTTTTATTAATTTACTTGCTCCAAGATTTAAAAAAAATTAATGGTTGAGATTTTTGGATGCCAAAATTTATTAGGCATAGTAAAATGATCCACTTAACATCACCCTCCTTTCTTTTCTTTTCATTTTTCAGTCAGCAAATGCAAAGATAGAGAGAGAAGGTGTGAGAGAGCGAGCTTCAACATGCAAAAATGGAGTTTTAGAGAGAGAAAGGATAAATCAAGAAAAATATCTATCCAAACCCCACTTTTATCTTAAAGTGCCTTTAGAAAAGTTATTCTACTCTTCAAAAGCAACAATCCTATCGTTTCAAATTCTTGATAGGAGAGCTTGATGCAGCTAGGAAGTGTGGAAGTAGGAGAATCCAAGAAAAAGTTTTGACAAAGGAAAGAGGTAAGCACAAGTTTTATTTTGATCTAAGTTTTTTTAGATTTAATTAAGTTTTCATGAAGTTGTGTTGCTGCCCTATTGTTTTAGAGATTATAAGGCTTGATACTTTAATAATTAAATGATAAAAAAATAGTTTAAAAATGATCATAAAAATGTTACTTATTGATTATTGATGAATGGTGGCTTGTTTTCAAGCTTTATGTAATTTTTGGATGATCATTATTCAAGGGGAAATGCTGCCCAATTTTCCATATAATTCAGATTTGATTAGTTAAGCATTTACGCATATGGAGTATGATTTACAACCAAGCCTAAAGCTATGGAAAATGAGGCAAGAATTTGACTAGAACTCAAAGCAAGATTTAAGGTTCAAATACCCTAAATCTTTAGTCAGATTATGATTGGCTAGAAGGAGTTGGATTTTGTTAGATATGAGTTCAAAAATAAATTCATTATACAAAATTTAGTGAGAAATTGCTAAGATAATAATTTTATAAATTAAGAATGAAAAGGTGAAATTTTAAGTCAAAAGAAGTAAAAGTATTCTTGAGATGTTAGTAGTTTCAATATTCTTAAAGAGTTTTTCAATTGATGTATGATATTTATTTAGGGCCATTGGATGGTATGGAAGTGAAATTGAAGGTTTAGTTATAGAAGATCAAGTTATGAAAGTAAGGAAATCAAAGAAGAAGTAGTAAATTAAGCTAAAGATAGTAAATTTACCCTTCATTGTGTAACAGACTTGATTTTTATCACAATTTTTTTTCAAAAGAAAACCCTCCGCCTTTTTTTATAAATACACATTTTTCTCAAAAATATACCTGTCCAAACAAATGATATCGAGATTAACAATCATTATTGGGCTTAGGACAGATAAAGCTCAATAAACAATTTGCAATAAGTCTAGAGTTCAACAACAGTTTATAGATATAATCAATTCTACTAAATACACAGTTTTGTATACCATTTATGTACAATCCAAAATAAATGGGCTTAGCCCACTAGAAAACCATGGTCCAGATCGACATAGTTAAAAGTTACCAACTCAAACAAAAAAATTAAGTAGTTATAGTCGAATAACCTATAACAATTATCCAAAATAAAATTTATAAAGGCCTTAGGTCATGGCAACTATAAGTACAAAATAAACAAAAAACCACGTGCCAAACTGAGAGAAAGGAGCCTAAACTCACTTCTTCGATGCCTTTCCTATAGCTCCACTTGATTGCTCACATAAAAATGATAAGAAGTAACATGTGAGATCAAAATCTCAGTAACAGTTGGTTATTCTAACATATACCAACATACTTTTTGAAACCAGCTCGCAAGCATATCTATAGATATACATATATATTTTACAACCAATATCCAAAACAAGAAATGCAATATTCACAATTATATAACAATTTCTAAATCAATATCAAATTAAAACAATAGTAGTACATTTCTCAAGCTCCCAACTCCCTTATTATCACTAGCTGGAGCCTAAACTGAGGTTATACTAAGCTAAAGGCACATTGCCATCAGAATAGGACTCTCCTCCTTAAAAAGAAGGTGTCCATCATCCCAAAATGTCAAAGACATTGAAAACTATAAGAAAAAGACCAACCACTACATGCGTAGTGGAGGCAAACCATGCAGCATAAATATTCAATTATCAACCCAAACAAACAATCATATCATTAGCCATCCTTATAACCTCTTGTGCATCACATAAAACAAATGTCACATTCCACAATAAGATCACACAAGTATTAAGATATTTATATACACAATGATAAAAACCAATATCTCAATATATGAAAAGATATTTCAATGTTACCTCTTTTCCAAGCTATAACTAACTCAGACATGTGGGGAATTTCTTAACCACGATAACAGATTAATCTATGAGATCGAATGATATAAATACCATTGGATATATATATATATATATTATAATTTATTAATTAAATATAAAATTCAACTAAATTTATCA